TTTTGTGTGATTTTAACAAAAAATAAAACTTTGGTTTACGTTTCCAATTAATGTAGTATTCAGCACGACAATGTTAAATATGAAAAATGATTTTTATGAATTACACTCAAAACAAAATGACTATTTTAATACAAATGTTTGGTCTAACTTGGGACATTATTCCAGTTTTGCATTTGACCCAGACCGATAGTCATTTCAAAACGGCTCTTTTTTGGGGGTTTGAGGAGCAAGGAAAATATATATCCAAAGTTAAAAGATTCTACATAAGAAAATCAAAGCCGAACATTTAACAAAATATAGTCCTTGATATTAAGGAGAGACTTACTTATTTATACCATCCACTATACATAGTATGGAGGGTATATTAAGTTTGTCATTCCGTTTGTAACTCATCGAAATAATATTTTTAGACCTAACAAAGTATATCATCGTAAAATTCCAAGACGATTTCGTCCTGTACGTCCGTCCGACTGTCCGCCTGTTGCAATCACGCTAGAGTCAAAACGAATTAAGATAGGAATCTAGAATATAGCACAGATCAGTCTTTTGTCTGCAGGCAGGTCAAGTTCGCTATATCGGTCCACGATATCAATAGCCCCCACATAACAGCTATTTTCGATATTTTGATGATTGTAGACACATTTTTCAATGGAATTGTCTGAAAATCCACACAAGGAGTTCCCTCTTAATACTTTAACCCCTGGAAGAGAATTGGCTATATAGATCCACGATATCGTATATCCCCCATATAACGATATCTCCCTATATTCTTGATGATTTTAGCTACATTTTTTAATGGAATTGACTGAAAATCCACACAAGGAGTTCCCTCAGAATACTTTACCCCCTGGAAGTGAATTGTTTTTATAGGACCACAATATCGTATAGCCCCCATACAACGGTATCAATCGATATTCGGTATTTTGATGATTTTACTTACATTATTCACCGGAATTGATTCAAATTTCGTATTATAACTTTATAATGGGTACTGCAGCCTAATTGCGAATGCAGGTACAGGTCTTCGTATAGCCATATATCCTATAACCATATATCTTTTCTGTACTTTGATGATTTTAGCGACATTATTCACCATTTCTAATAGGTACTACAGCCTGTGACACCATATTGTCTATGCATGTACAGGTCTTCGAATACCCCCAATTTAGCGGTATCTTCCTATATTCCGTATTATGATAATTTTAGGTACAATTTCGGATTTGCAGTTCCAAATAGGTAATGTAGCCTGTGACAGTATGTTATCAATGCAGGTTCAGGTCTTCGTACCCTAATGGCCGTTATGTACATTCTATAACAACTATATTCTGGAACATATATAAAATACCTCTGTTAAATTTTATATATAAGTTCGATTCAGATTTAATATATTTTTATACGATTTGAAGTTCATCGTGCGCTAAATGTGTGATATAAGACTGTATTGAATGCATTTTGGCACATATGACCGAATTTAGTCTGCAAGGAATTTTTTTCAAACTTGATAAAAAATCTGTTCAGGCTCCATACATATATTTCATCCAATTCTGTTTTTAAGACTCCCACGCCCGTAAAATGAACTCCACAACAACGTCATTGGGTTGGGTACAGAAATACCACTGCTATATTTATTATAGGTCGGTTCAGATTTGCATATAGTTCCCACATATATCTTCATCCGATTTATGTTTATTGTGCACCAAAAGTGTAATGTCAGCTCTAAACCGATGGATTTTTAGTAAAAATCGATTCAGATTTCAGTTCAGTTTTAATTTATGTGTTCTCAAAGTCGGGAGATACAAATGCCTTTGTAAAAATTGGAAGAGATGTGTTAAGCACTTTTAAGTATTGAGGAAATAGGATCAAAATTGCCATTTTTTGTCAATTGCATGCTTTTTATATTAAAAATAATTAAAATGTATGCATTGTTGAAGGTTTTTTTTTAACATTTTCTCATCCAGAAGACATCTGATTTTCTATCAACATATGATACTAAAATAATTCCTCCTGAGAGAATTTTCCAAATTGCTCTCTTCACTCGTTCTCATTTTAAAAATAATTATCTTAAAAATAATTTATTATCTTAAAAATAATTTAAATTTATGCATTGTCGAAGGTTTTTTTAACATTTTCTCATCCAGAAGACATCTGATTTTCTATCAACATATGATACTAAGATAATTCCTCCTGAGAGAATTTTCCAAATTGCTCTCTTCACTCGTTCTCATCGGTTGGACTGGACTTTTGGGTAACAAATCACCTAATGTCAATTGACGATAAGGGCGCTTTTAGCAATTCCATTGCGAATATCTGCCAATATAACAACACCAATTATTATCCATTATCAGTATATCGTAATCAATTTGATCGGAAACAAGAAATATCATTTGTATATGGTGTTTCATATCAAAATCCATATTTTGTGGCATTTTTTCTGTTAGCCGAGATACTTGGTGGTATCGAGATATTTAAGTGCTTGTTTTGCATGACGTATATTAAATGTCATTAATTCGCCAGATTGTCTAAAATGTTCTGGTTTTCTGGTATTTTTTTTCGGTTGAATGTCGTACGTGTGGTGTTTATCAAAGAGGCGGCTGTTGATTTATGATCTGTTAACGATTAGGGAAATATACCTACTTTTGTTTCAAGCATTTTTTGGATGTGGGGTTTGTTTTTAGCGGGAACTCAAGTGATGCTTGTTGAAAGTTGATAAAATATGAAAGTAAAAATTTTCGGCATATGAATTTAATAAATCCAAATATACATTGTTAAAAAATTTGGATACGGTTATAATTGTCGCACTGTGTGACAAAATTATTTTTTCCAGTAATTATAGAAAAAATTGCCAGGATATGAAATTAAAGCTTAAAATAAAAGACACGTATATAGGCGTTTTTAAAGTTCATATCGTAAATTGACCTCAATAAAGGGGGCAAATTCCTCCCTCTTCCACTTTTTTATAACCTTGGCTACAGAGGGTATATACCATTTAATACGGTCAAAACGTGCCTTATTAAAATAACGGTTTTGGACCCAAATCCGTTTTGGACATTTGCGCCAAATCCGATTGAGGACATTTGGAGTCGATCTAGCGATGTCCGTCCGTCCGTCAGCCAGACAGACGGCTTCAGAGCTAGGTCAGGTGATGGACAATATTGGCCCACTCCATGAAGTACCTCTCCTACAAACTTTTGAATATTATAGCTCTTATAAAATGTGAAGTAGAAGGCCGATTGTCTTCAAATTATACACATCACAATATTTTTATTTACCCAAGGTGGTGTGAAGATGGATGGTCCACTTCTCTGGTACCTCATCCATAAAGGGTCAACATTTTGAATATCCATATATCATATCATAAAACGCGAAATTTATATCCGATTCCATTCAGAATTGATGCATTTCAATATTTCCGTCAACACAATATCTGTTATAAAGATAGCAGAGATCGGACCAAAGTTTTGAATAACCATCCAAATAAGCATCCGGTTCTCTTCATATTTCATACATTTCATTATTTCTACCAACACAAGATCTCCTATGAATATGTGATATATCGATCCACTCCTTCTGGTACCTTCGCCACAAAAGCGTCAACATTTTCAATATCCATGAAGCTCATAAAACATGAGGGTATACAGGGTGAGATAAAAAACTGCAACAAAGTCAAATGCCATAATTTTTACATTTTGTTTTTTTTAAATTTTATTGAATGAAAGCAAAAAATGTCGGAAATGGCATTAAATTTTAGAATACGTTTAGATTTGTTCGAATTGGTCCCCTCTGGCACGAATTATAACCTTAAAACGGCCAATGAAACCGTCCCACACACGCTGCCCGAATGTTGCTCTGCGGTATTTTGCCCCATTCCCGTCGAAGCGATTGCTTGAGGTGATCGACACTTTGGTGTTTTTTTGTGTCAACCTTGCTTTGCAAAATACTCCAGAGACAATAGTCCAACGGATTGGTATCCGGAGATTTCGGTGGCCATTGTGCGCTGGAAATGAAGCGAGGAACCTCATTTTCTAAACATTCTTGGGTGGCGCGTGCCTGAGTGCGAAAGGTCTACGGCCAAAATGTTTGCGTGTCCAAGGCTTTAATACACCCTCCAGAATATTTTCGCGAAAATATACGGCATTTATTCTGATGACACGGTCGATTAATACGAGCTGAGAGCGACCATCGGCTGTTATAGCGGCCCACACCATCATCATGGCCGGCGCTTGAGTTCTGTTGGCCAACCGAATTTGAACATTTTCAGCTGACCTCTTTGGCAAGTAATCACGATCATTTAGTTTGTTTACAAACTGCTGGACAACGAATGTTTTCTCATCGGAGCGCAGAAAACCAAATTCGGAAGTTCACCACTTTCGGCAAAGCGAAGCAACTCTTTAGCATTTTGGAATTTATTTTCTTTACGCTACGGTGTAAGTTCTTGCACTTCTTGTAATTTCAATGGCTTTACCACGAGCTCATCTTTCAATATTTGCCGAATGGAATATTGCGATATGTTCAGCTCAAGAGCCAACGATAGCCACTTGTGGTTTTCCAGCCAAATATAAAGAAATCACACTATCACGCTTGATTTCCATCGCGAATAACTTTTTTTCTGGAAAATTCTCACCAAAATGCTTTTGTAAATAATATAATGAGTTGTCACTGGAATAATTTTAACAGCTGTCGGACGAGTGGCTTAGAAATAACAGCAGTCTGAATTTGGTTGAAGGTTTTTCATCTCACCCTGTATAACTGTCGGCTAAACCGACTTATACTTTTTAACTTGTTTTATGAATTTTAAGGATTACTATTCATTGGTATAAAGTATCTTCGGCAATATTACAGATAACAATACGAGGATGTTTTTGAACAAAAAATTTAACCCAAAAGTTACTTTTTTTAAATATGGTTTAAAACTCCCTTTGAGACCAGATCTTTTAAATTTTTTATATACGTTTTAAACTATTACAATTTAACAAATACCACATTTTCTAAATCTTTTCCAGGTATCTTTCACGGTGGAATTCAATGAAATCTATGAGAAAATATTGGACGATTTCAATGAATGGGGTATTGGTGATCGTGAAGGTTCTTCCGTTTCGGTTATGAATTGTATTGCCTCCAAGGCATTTTCAACCAAAGACGAAGATGATGAAGATAATGACGAAAATGCTGAGTAAGTCTACCAACAACAATATACCAAAGTAGATCACTAATCTTTATTCTCATTACAGCAATTACGACAAAAAACAAAGCGCCTGGGAGCGTTTTATGAACTCCGTCCGTAGTCGTTTGAATGTAACACAGATTGTGCGAAATGTACGCGAAGATGCCTCAATTACATTTGATTTTGTGGTATTATTGATCTCAGCGGCGTAAGTTTGTGGAATTGTGAACATTTTGATTTTATTTTGTGATTTAATAAAAATTCCTTTTCCAGAGTCCTAGCTGCCTTTGGTTTAATCGAGAACAGTACAATATTCTTGGCCTCCAGCATGTTGGTATCACCGCTAATGGGTCCCATTATTGCCACCATCTTTGGCACCGTAATCAAGGATAAATCCCTGTTCCGCTTGGGCATGATCAATGAATTGTTTGGCATTTGTACGGCCGTCTTAGTTGGTTTCATCTTTGGCATTGTTGTCTGCACCACCGATGAAAGGTATAGCATTGGCGAGGGTCTCACCGATGAAATCCTATCGAGATGTGAATTACATTCACTTATTGTGGGTGTATTTACGGCGATACCATCGGGTGCTGCGGCCGCTATTGGTATTTTGGGTGGCAATATTGGCTCGCTGGTTGGTGTGGCAATTTCCGCCTCGCTGTTGCCGCCGGCTGTAAACTCGGTAAGATTTAATAAATGTAAATTGAGATTACAATTCATATGTAGTTATCTAACTTCTAAAGGCCTTCTATAATCATGGGTCATCTATCCACAGGAAAGCTTATTTTTTTTAATTCCCTTTTAAGATCTTCTGCCTTTTGAAGATTCTGAATTAATAGACGATCATTTAAAAGTCTTTGGTTTAATAAAACCCTTTATATTCATAGGGCTTCTATCTATAGGAACGCTTATAAAGGTTCTCTTTTTTTTAAATCCCTTTTAAGATCTTCTGCGTTTTTAAGATTCTCAATTGATAGATGATCATTTAAAAGTCTTCGGTTTAAAGAATAGAATATGACCTTTTTTTAACACTATCCTAGAACAGACTTCATAGTTATAGTATAGATGTAATATCGAAGATTTCTGGTCCATATAATGAAGGTATTTTAATGTCCTCCATCCTCCTCCGCGGGCCTTTAGTCGGCTGACGACTTAACCGTTTTTATACTCTCCACCATAGTATGGAGGATATATTGAGTTTGTAATTCTGTTTGAAATACTTCGAAATATTAATTGTAAATTGTCGTAATGGATACTACAGCCTATGACAGAAAATTGTTTGTGTAGGTTCACATCTTCGTATAGCCCCCATATAACGGTACCTCCCGATATTCGGTATTTTGATGATTTTAGCGACATTATTCACCGGAATTGTTTCAAATTTGGTATTTGAAGTTCGTAATGGATACTGCAGCCTATGACAGAAAATTGTCTGCGCAGGTCCCCGTTTTGGTAAAGCCCCCATATAATGGTACCTCCCGATATTCGGTATTATAATGATTTTAGCGACATAATTCACAGGAATTATTTCAAAATTGGTATTTGAAGTTCGTAATGGCTACTACAGCCTATGGCAGAAAATTGTCTGTGCAGGTCCACGTCTTCGTATAGCTCCCATATAACGTTACCTCCTGATATTCGGTATTTTGATGATTTTATCGACATTATTCACCGGAATTGTTTAAAATTTGGCATTTGAAGTTCGTAATGGCTACTACAGCCGAAAAGGAAAACTGTCTGTGCAGGTCCACGTTTTGGTATAGCCTCCATATAACGTTACCTCCCGATATTTGGTATTGTAATGATTATAGCCACATAATTCACAGGAATTGCTTCAAATATGGTATTTGAAGTTCATAATGGATGCTACATCCTATGAGAGAAAATTATCTGTGCGGGTCCAAGTTTTGGTATAGCCCCCATATAATGGTACCACCCGATATTCGGCATTTTGAGTATTTTAGCGACATTATTCACCGGAATTGTTTCAAATTTCGTATTTGAAGTTCGTAATGGATACTACATTCTATGACAGAAAATTATCTGTGCGGGTCCAAGTTTTGGTATAGCCCCATGTTTGGTATTTTGCTGATTTTAGCTACATTATTCACCGATTTTTTTCAAGTTTCGCATTTGAATATTGTAATGACTTATAACAAAAGTTGCCTATGCAGGTCCACGTCATCGTATAGACCCTAATATAACGGCTACATTCGGTATTTTTGCGATTTTAACAGAATTTTTAACGGATTTATTTATTTATTTATTTATTTATTTATTTTTTTTTTTTTTTTGAAAATTGCCAAATTCATTACAATGGGTGGAGGGAATTAAAAGTTCGGCCCGGCCGAACTTACAGCTTTTTTATTTGTTATGAGTAAAAATCGTCCAAAGGTCTTTTATAAATATGACATTCCTGGGGGTCTTCAATTGATATATTACATAAATATATTTTTTGAGTAAAAATCCTCTAAAGGTTTTCCAAAAATAAAGGACCCTTGAGTGGTCTTACTAAGATCAGGAAACCTTTTTTTATGAATCAAAGTCTTTTTAACATTCTTCCTATAAATAGAAGACATTCTAAATGAAGAAAACTAAATTACAAAACTCTTTTTTTTTAGGGTCTCCTCTGGGCCATAGCATTAATTTACAAATGCTATGAAAATGATGAATCCAAGTTCCCACAAGTGGTGAAGACCACTCAATATTCCGAAAATCAAGCCAACGAATTAGCTGTCTTGGCCACAATTAGCATGTGCTTGACCATATCGAATATCCTTTGTATCTATGTTATGGGTATATTGGTATTGAAGTTGAAAGAAATCGCTCCCGTATCGGGTACTAATCGTGAATTTTGGAAACATGATATTAAAATTGCCCGTCATCTTAAGCGTCGTCGTCTCGACAGCGATAATGTTATTATGGATGAATATGCTCACCTGCCGCAAGAGGATCAAAAGGCGTTGGGTATTAATTACGACATGCTGAGAACGATACAAATGGATGATGCTGCATATCAGAATACATGGTCACCGGTGGGTACGCGGCATCCATTTGAAACGTCGTATGAACCAATGCGTGGTAACTATTCGACGGTACATCAAATTGATCAACTCTATGCTACGATAACACATCAGACAACGATGAAGGAGAAAATGTAGGAAATATTTTAATTTTTTCTTGAAAGTTGGCACAATTTATTATAATTTGTTTTTCATTCAATTTCAGGCATAGATTTGGTTTGGGACGCCGACCTACAGGGCGTATGGTGGACTTTGCTTCCTCGTATAAATTGCTAAGTGAAAACGTAAGTTGAAACGAAAAAGAGGCACAATCACAAAGTATATCTACAAATCTACGTCAGAATATACAGAGATCATAATGAACATCTACAGATTTTCTAGAAGAGGACCTACAGATCTTCTATGAGAAGATCTACGGATCTTCTATGAGGAGATCTTCAGATCTTCTAGGAGAAGATCTACAGATTTTCTTTGAAAAGATCTACAGATCTTCTATGAGAAGATCTACAGATCTTCCATGAGAAGATCTACAGATCTTCCATGAGAAGATCTACAGATCTTCTATGAGAAAATCTACGGATCTTCTATGAGATGACCTACAGATCTTCTACGAAAAGACCTACAGATCTTCTACGAAAAGACCTACAGATCTTCTATGAGAAGACCTACAGATCTTTTATGAGAAGAATGACAGATCTTCTATAAGAAAATCTACAGTTCTATGAGAAGATCTACAGATCTTCTATGAGATGTTCTACAGATCTTCTATGAGATGTTCCACAGATCTTCTATGAGAAGACCTATAGATCTTCTATGAGAAGACCTACAGATCTTTTATGAGAAGACCTATAGATCATCTATGAGAAGACCTATAGATCTTCTATGAGAAGATCTACAGATCTTCTATGAGAAGATCGACAGATCATCTATGAGAAGATCTACAGATCTTCTATGAGAACATCTTCTATGAGAAGATCTACAGATCTTCTATGAGAAGATCTACAGATCTTCTATGAGAAGATCTACAGATCTTCTATGAGAAGATCTAGAGATCTTCTATGAGAAGATCTACAGATCTTCTATGAGAAGATCTACAGATCTTCTATGAGAAGATCTACAGATCTTCTATGAGAAGATCTAAAGATCCTCTTTGAAGATCTACAGTCCTTCTATGAGAAGATCTACAGATCTCCTTTGAGAAGATCTACAGATCTTCTATGGGAAGATCTAAAGATCTTCTATGAGAAGATCTAAAGATCTTCTATGAGAAGATCTAAAGATCTTCTATGAGAAGATCTACAGATCTTCTATGAGATGTACAGATATTTTAAAGATGATCTACAGACCTTCAAAACTTTCACGACTCCTTCAAACATCCCCCCAAATTTTGTCGTAAAATTAATTGATTTTTCTCTCTTCAGCTACCCCGTTCCCGTTGCTCAACAATGCCGTCCAAGGTCAATCCGCCTACCGTCAAAATAGTCACTCCCGATTCCTCGCAATTCAACTCCTGCACGAATACACCGTCCATGGCTGCAGAGAAAAATCGACGAAAATTCATTGTGACACCAGCTGAAGATGATCCATTGCAACCATTGAATCCATCGGATGCATAAATCTATATTTATTTGTATATAGAAATATATAATTAGTAGAGTATGGGTCTAGGCGTGCGTGCGTGTGACTTACATCATCATCGATCAGTATACTTAAAGGTATCACTTTTCAACTTAGGTAGTTAATAACTAAACAAATAAATCGTTAAAAGAAAAAGAAACTAGTTTATATGTATACACACACTCACATACTCTATTTATTTATAGATATATAGAAATAACAATTTACAATTATTGTATAATTTGTATTGTTATAATTCATTTATAATGTCGTTTTTTTTTTCTAGGATATATATTAGCGAACAAACAAAACTAAAAAAAAGAACAACAAAAAAAATTAAAAGAAAACAAAACTAACAACAATTTACAAAACATAACATTTATTATTATTATTATGATAATCTTTTGTTTAAATGTTTTTTTAATATACATATCTGCCATTTTAGTTTTCCACTCGTCGTCCTCTTTTTTTCTCTCTGTGTATAGATAATTGTTGTTTGTTTAGTTAAAATTTTGTTTTATATATATATTTTTTGGCTAGTACCTATGTTGTTAGTAACTGATTCTTGTAACTTGGCTTTTTGTAACTACGCCAAAAACAAAGAAACTACACAAATAAAATATGTACTTGATTTCCCTCAGGTGTTTTCAATTGAGAATATCTCGTTGTTTTATTTTTCTTCTTCTTTTGTACAAATAACAACACGGGTTTTTAAGGATAATAACAGAAAATAATCAAATATTCATATTGCTTTATAAATCAGCTATTGAGGGTCCTTGGCGATCAGCTTTGGTCTGTGATCTTTGACGTTTTTGAAAGAGACGTTCACGGGCAGCTTTCTCTTGTCTGTAAATGGAAAAAAATGATACATGTATAAATTTCAAGAAAATAATGTACTTTGTGACAAATTCGACTTAAGACAAAATAATATCAGTATCTGAAAAATAAGATAGGAAACATAACTTGCCATCAGATGAATACACTCAGCCAATTACCGTATAAGTATTGGAATCAATAGAACAAATCTGTCAATATCTAAAAATTTTATTCAGCACAATTGATTTTTATACCCTCAGCCATATGGCTTCAGAGGGTATATATCATTTGATACGGGCAAAACGTGCCTCATCGAAATAACGGTTTTAGACCCAAGATCTCTTTGGACCAAATCTGTTTCAGGACATTTGGAGTCGATCAAGCGATGTCCGTCTGTCTGGTGTGCACGATAGCTCTCGAAGGGATTATCCGATTTGATCCAAATTTTGTACATCGTAATATTATTGTTAAACTTAGATCGAGTCCACAAATGGGCAATATCCGTCCACTCCTTTTGGTACCTCCCACACAAAATATCAACATTTTCAAATAAAATAATTTACTGCACAGAAAGAGAAAAGATAATCCGATTTTGCTCTAACTTTGTGAATCCTAATATTTGCATCATTGCTAGGTCAGGTGCGAAAATGGGCAATACCGATTCACTTCATCAAGTACCTTCCCCACAAAGGGCCAAAATTTTGAATATTTATGAAGCTCATAAAACACGAAACTAACATCCGAGTCCATGCAGACTTGGCACATCTGAATATTTCCATCAACACAAGATCTGTTATAAAGACAGTAGAGATCGGATCATTTCTTTTGGTACTTCCCCCACAAGTGGTCAAAGTTTTGAATAATCAAACCGATCATAAAATCCGTTATAAGCATCCGGTTCTCTTCCAATTGAACACATCAGAATATTTTTGTTATGGGATATATCGGACCACACCTTTCGGTACCTCACCCACAAAGGGTCACAATTTCCAATACTTACAGGGTGAGATGAAAAAACTGCAACCAATTTCAGACTGCTGTCATTTCTAAGCCACTCTTCCGTCAGCTGTTAAAATTATTCCAGCGACAACTCATTATATTGTTTACAAGCGTACAAAAGCATTTTGGTCAGAATTGTCCCGAAAAAAAGTTATTCGTGATGGAATTCAAGCGTGATAATGTGATTTCTTTATATATGGCTGGAAAACCACAAGTGGCTATCGTTAGAGCTCTCCAGAATTAAGAAATTAATTTGAATAAATTCTTTGTGTCTCATCATCGTACCATTGCTCGTTACTCGGTCGGTGATACTGGTAGCGTAGCCCTATGTCAAGGAAGTGGACGGAAGAAAACTGCAACATCAGCAGAAATGGTTCGAAATGTAAAGAAGCGATTTGATCGAAACCCGCGTCGCAGTGGCTGAAAAAATGGATGAAAATATCGCAATATTCTATTCGTCAAATATTGAAAAATGCCCCGAGCTCGGGGTAAAGCCATTAAAATTCCAAAAACTGCAAGAGCTTACACCGCAGCAGAATGAAAATAGACTCAAAAGAGCTAAAGAGTTGCTTCGCTTTGCCGAAAGTGGTGAACTGCCGAATTTGGTTTCCTCCGCTCCGATGTGAAAACATTCGTTGCCCAGCAGTTTTTAAACAAACAAAATTATCGTGTTTACTAGCCAAAGAGGTCTGCTGAAAATGTGCACCTTTTGTTGGCCACCAGAACTCAAGCACCGGTCATGGTGATGGTGTGGGCCGCCATAACAGACGATTGTCACTCTCCGCTCGTATTAATCGACCGTGGCATAAGAATAAATGCGGAATATTATCGCAAAAATATTCTGTAGCGTGTATTAAAGCCTCAGGCACGCAAACATTTTGGCTGCAGACCTTGGACATTCCAACAGGACTCAGCACCATCGCACTCAGCACCCCACCGCCACCCAAGAATGGCAAAATGAGGTTCCTCGCTTCATTTCCAGCGCACAATGGCCACCAAAAACTACGGATACCAATCCGTTGGACTATTGTGTCTGAGGTATTTTGAAAAGCAAGGTTATCACCAAAAAATACCAAAGTGTCGATCACATCAAGCCAGGCTTCGCCGGGAATGGGCCAAAATACCACAGACCAACATTCGTGCAGCGTGTGAAGGTTTCATTGGCGGTTTAAAGAAACTGATTTGTGCCAAACGTGACCATTTCGAACAAATCTAATATTGTGAGGAATGAATTGGCTGACAAACTCGAGGTGGCTCCCAGTCGATTAATCTACCGATTGATAAAACTGTCAAACTACCAATAAGCTATTCAAAAAGGCTCTCATCGAAGATGATACGTGGAAACCGGTTGCATGGTATCTAGGTCTATCTGGCCGACAATCTTGAGAAAAAGAACCTACTCCCTTCTATCAATCAAATGGTCCGATTTAAAAATCCGAGTGGGAATATTGACTGACCAGGTGGGATGGCATAACGGTGGTCCTGACTACTGCAGACTATGTGAGAGCGAAGAAGAGTTGGAGAAGTTTGAACGTATACTATGCGGATGTCGTAAATTGTCAAGCAAGAGAAATGTGGTGTTCGGTAGGTGGAAGACAGAAACTCTAATGTTCTTCTCAGATGTAGATTTTATAGTATCCAAGATATTTCTATCCCTTCCTTGTTTCTCAATTATATCTTTCTCAATTTATATTCGTATCTTGTGGGGAGCATGAACTATTTGCACACATTTTGGAACAATCTGATCTGGTTGACTCAGCACAACAGTGGCCACATATTCTTCTCAGAAAACAAAATGCTGAAATGTTTGATTTTCTTAAATCAGCGCACTTACCTTTTACGTAATTTTTCCAAAGTTTCTTCGGATGGTGGTGGAGCCTCAATTTCATATTCTCTAATTAGTGCGCGCAATTTCTCTAAGGCATCGGCCAAATTCATTTGTTGTGACCGGGTCAAATCACTCTTGACTACATAGTAACCTTCTTTGGTTATTTTATTTTGCAGCTGAAAGAAAATAAAGAATTAATGTTCAGAAATCAATAGTAAAAGGGACGTGTCCACTCAAGTTGCTATGATCACAGTGATGTAAAACACACGACTTTTATATGATATTTTTAATGAGGCTAAATCTGTACATGTTTCAGTTTTTGTCCTCCCGTTACAACTGTGATCTAAGCAAGTTCTACAAGAGTTAAGGCTCTAGAACAATTCCATTGGAGTCCTTGACTTGAAAAAGAAGTCTCTGGAACGTACCGAATTTAAAAGCTTTTGGCGTGTTTTTTCTGGAATCCAATCAGCCTCGGCCAATTTGAAGCGTACGTCAACCTTTGTGTTCACCGTATTGACATGCTGACCACCGGGACCCGAACTGCGGCTGTAGGTGATTTCCAATTTATTTATTGGTATAAAGCCGGAAAATTTGTCATCCTTGTTGGAGGGCTATTTGGGAAAAAGGGAAACGATAATATTACAATGAATATTCTAAATTTCAGAATGTGTGCTCACCGGTGGCGGCGTGTAAAGTTGCAAACGACTGTTGGGATAAAGTTTATCCAATGACAAGTCACTTCTGAATGAAAGATGTCTTCCTAAAACGGCAGCTGATGAATAGGTCTTTTCCAGGTTGCCATGGCTAAGGACCGATATGAAACTTTTGCAAATTTTATTCATTTTAGTAAATTTGAAGGAAAATTGGCCAAAAAATGAGCCTTCACTCGTTCTCTCGTAACACTTTGACAATAGGGCTGGCAAATAATAGATAACTATATCGATACTTTATTTTAGAAGAAAGTATCGACTAATATAACAATTATCGTACGAAATGCCAGCACTAACCAACAACAAAAACAATAATTTATTAACAAGGTGAACGAGGGAGGTGGGAATAAGACATGGGGTAACATAATCAGCTGGAAAATTCATTAAAGAGAGCCGTGTAACTAAAATACACCACACACATGTGCCTTTAAAACTGTAAACTGCATTATCGACACTCGAATGGGACTAGTTTAACAGACCTTGTGAGAGAAATGTCAAGATTAGTTTAAAAAGCATTACAAGAGAAACGTGGATAGTTTGTTTTGATAGATAAATTAACAAACATAATAATTAAGAACATAAAAACATTGTATTATAAAAAGGAATATGGACACAGAAAATAACAATTCCAAGGTACATAACCACAATGTATTCAGTTTCACATCCACAGGCAGAGTATTTGGCTGCAAACTATGGCCAATTGCGAAGACATGACCTGACCACCGAAGGAATGAAAAACACAATTCATGAAGATGTGGGATGTGCTTCTAGTCAAAAATTTTAAAGAACATTAGCTGCTGCCTAAAAGGAGTGCCCCTGCGCTAAAGACAGCAGATTACATTTTTATTTAGCAGAAGCTCACGCAGAAAATATCATTCCACTGCTTTCTAGTGGATAATATAAGTTCCTTTTCATAGGCTTGGATAATAATGCATGTAATTCTTTTTCCAGACAACAATTAAGAATCCCATAAACAAAATTATTCGTGAACGATCGGCTGAAATTGTATCTGGCGGCAATGTGTTCTATAATCCTGTACAAGAATTTAATCGTGACCTGAGTGTATCGGTACTCAATGTATATTTTCAACAATTGCTGAAGGAAAGGGCAGCATCTAAAAAGAATCATAAAAAGGACACCAATGGCAATAGTGATGACAAAAATGAGACAGAAGAAACATCGGAGACGACAGCTATCACTTACAAAGCTGGGCCAAAGTATAAAAATGGTCTACGTATTTTGGAAGCTCTGTCAGCAACAGGTTTGCGTAGTATACGTTATGCCAAAGAAATTGCTGGTGTTAAAGAAATCATAGCCAATGATTTGTCAAGGCAGGCGGTTGAGGCTATCAGAGAGAATGTAAAACACAATCGGGTGGAACATTTGATAGAGCCAAGTCATGCCGATGCCATGTAAGTAGAATATGTATTTCTTTAGGAAACAAAATCATTCATATTAAAATTTTTCATTGGTTTGTAGGACTCTCATGTACCTGTCAACCGCCAAGGAGAAACAATTCGACTGTGTCGATTTGGATCCATATGGCTGTCCAAATCGTTTTCTGGATGGTGCTATACAATCAATTGTGGATGGTGGTTTGCTGCTGGTCACTGCCACGGACATGGCAGTTTTGGCAGGAAATGCCCCAGAGGCATGTTATGTTAAATATGGTTCTGTACCCTTGCGTATGAAATCATGTCACGAAATGGCACTACGCATCCTACTGCATTGCATCGAGACGCATGCCAATCGTTATGGCAAATATATTGTACCTTTATTGAGCATTTCAGCTGATTTCTATGTACGTGTTTTTGTGCGTATTTTTAGTAGTCAAGCCAAGTGTAAATTTAGTATGAGTAAACAATCAATGATATATCAATGTACGGGCTGTGATACATACACTTTGTATCCACTGGGTACGATTAAGCCGAATCCAACGGCCAGCAATCCAAATCAGGTTAAATTTGGCATACCCACGGGACCACCTGTGTCAGAACAATGTGAACATTGTGGCCATAAACATCATGTAAGTATTTATGCTACTTTCTACTTATATTGCAATAACAAGTTTTCCCCCTTTTCTAGTTGGGCGGTCCCATTTGGTCTGCTCCCATACATGACAAATCCTTTGTCCAAGAACTCCTCAGTGCAATACAAAAAAGTCCCCTAGATGAATTGGGAACCCAAAAACGTTTAGTGGGCATGTTAACGGTGGTGCTAGAAGAATTGGACGATGTCCCCCTGTACTATACCTTGGATAAACTCTGCTGCGTTTTGAAATTGGAAATAGTTCCTATACTGAAATTCCGCTCTGCAATATTACATGCCGGTTATAAAGTATCATTCTCTCATGCCTATAAGAATTCTATAAAAACAAATGCTCCTGCCTCGGTGTTATGGGATATTTTACGGTGTTGGAATAAACGCCACCCGGTCAAAGAGGAACGCATGATTGACGGAACACCCATTAAGGCCATTTTAAGCAAAGAATGTACCAGAGATTATGAATTTGATAATATTCATCCCGAAGCCAATCCCAGGAGTCGGAAACAGGCATTATCAAGATTCCAGGCGAATCCAACACCCCATTGGGGACCGGGAACAAGGGCTACAATTATGTAAGTCATGCGGATTACTTTAAATACCCAGATTAAATTTCTTTTTTAATTTCCACAGGATTGGTGAGGATAAAATTGAAAAAAGTCATCGTAACCAAAATAAGAAACAAAAACACAAGGTACAAGATTCCAATGCCAATAATGATGATGATGGCAATGAGCCTGAAAACGAAGAATCCCAGAAAAGTAAACAACCCAAACTTGATACCACCAATACTACAGAAGACGCTGCTATGGAGTCATGATGATAATTTAAAAAAACTTATATATTTTTATAGGAATTTTACAATGTTGTATGAAATAAAATCATATCCAGATTTTTTGATGGTCAAATCAAATGTTTCAAAATGAATTTATTAGCGGAAGAAAGACCATGCTATAGAGTCTTGATAATCTAAAAAAAGTATATATTTTTTATAGCGATTTTACAATGTTGTATGAAATAAAATCATATCCAGATTTTTGATGGCCGAATCAAATGTTTCAAACTGCTTTTAATAACGGAAGAAATTGCCATCTGCTGGTTGGCGAGAATATCCATTGTTCACCAACTGCGTGTGAGGACCGCTGTTAATTAATTTAACACTGTGCGGTGAAAGTTTCTCCTTAATGCCACCTGACAAAATATCGAAAATTAAAAATTTCCAAATCCCAACATCTTCCATGCAACTTACCAATTTTTAATGGATGACCCATTTTATCAGGTGTTGGCACTTTTACATCTCGCGTATTTCGAAGCACCCGAAATGTTTGTGGCATTGGACAGCAAGTCTCGGTTTGCAGTACATAATCCACGGATTCTGGAAAGTTTTCTCGCGAGTGCACATAACGCGATTGCAATTGAAAATCTAACGAATCCTTAGGGATTTGTGATGTGGCCACAAAACGTTTACTACATCGCACCGATGAAAGCGTTTGGTGGTAAAATAAACGTTCATAGGGTTTTAAATTGGCATACCATTCACGGTTGGGATCAATATTGGGCGGCGATGGAAGTGGACATATTAAACGTCCCTCTCGCTCCAAATGCGGAGCATAGGAATAATTGCGTACTCTTAACATGTATTGGTGTTTTCGTGGTTTTTCTTTTATTTGGGACTTTAAATTTAATTGGGGCAATAGTGTTATTTTATTTAGGAGAAATGTCAAATGGAGTTTGTTTATGAAAAATAACAATAACATCGAATGTTGCTAAGTAACAAAAAGTAAATGTAAAGTGAAACGGCTACAACTAGAGACGTTCATTTAAAAGAGAGTTTCACGACATTTTTCTCTCAGAGCAGCACTTTTATTTAAACTACAGTTTGATTATATGTGAGCGGGAGTTACATTATGACAGTTTAGATTACTTTTAGGTTAAATCAAGTACTGCAACGGACTCCTCAAGAACCCAAGAAATGGCCAATGATACATCAAGAATTGGCCCATGGCAAAATTAAGAAGGTAAAGTAATTTAAAATAAAATGTTATGGACAAATCGGCTATAATCAAGATCCCTACAATTTGGATGTTCCGTAATATGGAGACTACAGCTAAATGACATATTTTTTGAAGAACTTGAGAACCCGAATTGTTATTTTTGAGTTGATTTTGATGAAAATTAGATCCGAAACTTTGGAAGTAGCCCAAATCATGTACCATTTTTTAGCGATCACGCAAAAAAGTGGAAGTATTTTTAGGTGAAGCAAAACTGATAATCCGTAAAATGAAAAATAAACAAATTTTTTGATAATCTTCTAAGTATTCAAAATCAAGATGTACCGTTTTATGGATGCTATACCAAAGTGGACTTGAATATATTTTTTTGCGAGAAATTAAACTATCCACTGAGAACGCGGAATATCAAATTACAGCTGATTTGATTGGATATTGTGAACGAAACTATTAAAATACCGAATACACCAAAATGTGGAACTACAATAAATATTTTTTAAATCCGTAAAACTTCCTATCGAGAATCAAAAATATCGAATAACCGTTGAAAAATGTCAACATTTTGAATAATTATAGCCACCTCTAGATGTAAGGGTCAGATTGTCTTCATATTACACACATCACAATATTTTTATTAAGCCAAAGTCTGGTTTTAAAATGGGACATAACGGCCCACTCCTTCTGGCACCTCCCCTACAATGGGTCAACATTTTGAATATCCATGAAGCTCATAAAACGCAAAATTAATATTCGATTCCATTCAGACTTGGCAAATCTCAATATTTCCATCAACACAAGATCTGTTGTGAAGATGGCAGAGATCGGACCACTCGTTCTGGCACCTCCCCCACAAAGGGTCAAAATTTTGAATATCAATGAAGCTCATAAAACACGAAATAAACATTTGATTCCACTAAGACTTGGTACATCTCAATATTACCATCAACACAAGATCTGTTGTGAAGATGAAAGAGATCGGACCATTTCCCCAGGTACCACCCCATATAGGATTCAAGATTTTGAAAAAAAAAAACGTTTAAAGAAAGCGAAATAAAAATCCAACTCTTCAAATTACACACATATAAACATTTTTGCTAACGCAAGACCTGTTGTGAAGATGATATATATCTGCGAACCATGCGAAACAAGTCTGCGATTCTTCACAACTTGCTATGTCTCAAAATTTCTCTTAACCAGATATCTGATAGGAATATGTAATTTATAGGAATTTATGATTTCTCATAAAATTGGATATAAATATTCGATCTCTTTCAAATCTCGCACATACCAATATTTTTATTTAGATGAAGTATGAAAACGGAACTCTTCGGTACGCTATATATGTTAAAAATTTGCATATATCTCATGTCAAGTCCAAATCTGGCACATTTAGTACATTTCTTAACACACATTTCCAAAACCACCTTCTTATATCGACCCTATTTTAGTGCAGCAATCCCCGAAGGTAATTAAAAGAGGCATGTTTGTGAGTTTATTTAAATAATTTTTTATTTAAGAATAAATAATCAATTGCAATGTATTTGTATTTTTAAAAAATTCTTTCATCCGCCTTGTTTGAATGACGCCCCTGTAAAAATCATGGAGGTTAGTAAAATATCATGTATACATACCTTATGTTTAAAGCAAACTGAAAAGACCTTGAGCCCCAAATTCGAAGGGGTAACTTGAAGTCCATACCTCGCCCATCTATGTCGCCACGACGGAATGTTGTTACCTTTCCTATAAGTTTTACTTTTGTGGGAGGAAAAAATTAAATCGAGAAGGATGGACCACCAACAGAAAACAGCATAACCGCCGAAGAACTGCAGCCATACAACACACTTTCATTGAAGTTATTACATAATTAAGAGATTGAGGCTGGTGGTTTTGGTGCTGCTGCTGGATGTCTTGATCTTATTAGGTATATTGAAAACTGGAAACCTGCTAACTGATCTTGCGACAACACGAAAATGTAGAAATCTGCAGCGAACTCTCTCTCTAGCTAAATACAGTTAAAGAAACACCATATATTTTGTTCTGCCATTATATAGACCAGACGACCCCAACCACCGCGCCACACCATGTTAAGGGCTTTTGTTGTTTGTACGATGAAACGCACGAAATAGAGTTATGTCGCCAAACAGCCACACACGCCAACGATTAATGTTATTTGAAAAATAGTTGAATCTGCTTGAAACTCGAAACCGAAGTTAGATTGATTATAGATAGGCGGCTCAGCAGCTGAAGAGCAGATGAGAAATCGGCAAACCACCTACTTAAACTGCTGACTACTCTCCTGCACACGCACAACGCTGGCGAGTGGGTTTTCTTTGGTAAAGCGAAAGGTAATATCAGGTTGTTAAGCAGCCAAGAGCCACTGATGTCGCTGCTGATTCTTCGCGTTCTCTTCTTAAATGAGAAGTAGAGTAAAAGCTTTTTGGCCGCCATAAACAAAACGAACAAATTTACAAACGTTTCATTTGCCATATATGGCAGAGCGGCCGGTGGAAGGAAGCAGCAACATGCAAAGTGACCGCGAAAAGAGACAGCAGCCGGTAGATCAGCAGCTTAGTTCTTAGGTGATTTCAAACACATAGGTCTATATAAAGCAGCAACAGCAGCAAACGCCACACAAAAACAGCTTGCTTCACCCACACCATTTTATTGCGGCTTATGCCCACCAACATCTCACCATACTCCTTCCTTCTCCTCCTCTCCTAATACTTATATATTTCATATTTTTTAAACATTTTTTCATTCAGCCTGCCTGTCTGCCTTTTTCACATTCTGCTCTGCTTTAAAAGAACAGCCAACATAAACCGCTTTTATATGCCTGTATTGTATATAAAATTTTGAAAATTATTAAATTGCATATTAAAAGCATAAACAAAAAAACAAAGGAGAGAAAGAGTTGTTGAAAAATAAAAAAGGGCAATAGTGTAAATAAAAAGAAAGTTATATAACACAAAAAGTTTTGAAAAAAATATTGAATTTTCTCCTTATCTTTCCCTCATTTATCTATAATGGATACATTATTTTCATTTAACCTATCATCAAGTCCTTGGGTCTTGCAATATAGTCGTATGTAGCATTATTATATTTTATTAGTTAAACATATATGTGTGTTTTTATTACAACTAATAAAAACTACAACTACCCTTAAATGCCTAATATCCTACCCATATGAACTCAAGAGAAAACTTGCTATGTGGATGGTGTAATAACAAACTCAAAATACGTTCTGTTTTTTTGAAATATGATTAATTTTATCTTAAATTGATTTTTTTTATAATGCAAATTATTATGATTTGTATGTTTATGTATTTGTATGATGGATTTTTTTTTGAGACTACTACTGTATATTGTATTGTGTTGTTTATATATATTTTGCAATTTTTATATCAAGATCAAAATGAGTTTGAAATATCAATTACATCCCAATATGGATGAATTTTCGTTATAATAATTTTGACATTGAAAATTTTGTGGATGGCGGGAATTAGTTGAAAATGAAAATATATAGAATGAGATGATGAGCGTTTTACAAAATAATAAATGTTATAAAGGAGAAATAAAAACTTCAAATAATTCATGTAGAGCAAAAAATGTTAAAAAAAAAAACAAACATACTTTTTATATGCAGTAAAATGTTGTACATGTTTTGTTTTCTTCTTGAATTATTTAGGCTATGTTTTTTCACATCATATCTTTTTCTTTCTCTATTATAAGAAAATTATTTTTCTTTTTGTTTTAAAGTTCTATTAATGTAGTTATTAAAAAACAAATTACGCTTTGTTTTCTTGATTACTATTCTGTTACCATAGTTAAAATTAAAAATATCTTGTGTTTTCTAAATTAAAGATTTGTTTTGTTATACCTGCTGATACAACAGCAACATAGTATGGAGCTAAAAGTTATTGGAAATTAGTTGTCTCCCCTTTTGCAGCCGCCAATAAATTTAGGGTTGTGGTTTAGGGATATCTGAAATCAAATAAAAGATACGTGAGGAGTAAGTATAATGGACGATTCAAAAATTATTTGTTTAAAAAAATAAAATCCGTTAAAAATTCTGTTAAAAAATCTTAAAAATACCGAATGTAACCGTTATATTAGTGTCTATACGAAAACGTGGACATGCATAGGCAACTTTTGTCATAAGCCATTAAATCCTTAAAAAAATTCTGTTAAAATTTTAAAAATACCGAATATAGCCGTTATATTGGTGTCTATACGACGTGGACCTACATGGGCATTTTTTGTCATAAGTCATTATCATATTCAAATTCGAAACTTGAAATAAACGGTGAATAATGTAGCTAAAATCATCAAAATATCGTATATAGGGAGGTAGCGTTATATCGGAGCTGTGCGAAGACCTGAACCAGCATAGACAATTTTCTGCCATAGGCTGTAGCATCCATTACGAACTTCAAACTCCAACAATTTCGGTGGGTATTGTACGTAAACTCGTCAAAATACCGAATATGGGGAGGTACTGGTATGTAGGGCCTATACGAAGACCTGGACCTGCATAGACAATTTTCTGTCACAGACTGTAGTTCCCATTACTAGCTCTAAATACGTAATTTAAAACAATTCTGGTGAATAATGTAGCTTAAATCATCAAAATACCGAATATCGGGAGGTACCATTATATGGGGGCTATACGAAGACGTGGACGTGCACATACAATTTTCTGTCTTTGGCTGTAGTATCCATTACGAACTTCAAATACCAAATTTGAAACAGTTCCGGTGAATAATTTCGCTTAAATCACCAAAATACCGAAAATAGAACAAATAAGGAGTTATTATATGGGGGTTATACCTAAACGTGGACCTACATGGCACATTTTCAAGACATAATATACATTTGAGTACAATTTTATCAACCTACTTCATTTCGTTCGAAAGCTAGAGTGATTTCCACAGACGGACAGACAGATGAATCGGACGGACATCGCAAAAATGTATATTTCGAGGTGTAACAAACGGAATGACAAACTTAATATACCCTCCATACTATGGTGGAGGGTATAAATGGAGCCCTTTTTGAAACAGGTCCTGTCAACCAACGAAATACAATTGTGGGCAAATTTTTTGACTACATTGGTGCAAGCCCTTATGAATCTTCAAATTATTTTATGCTAACCAATAAGGCCTTAATTGACACTCCATGAAGAATGGAAAATTAAGTCCATCCAATTTCGGTAGACAATTCCTGTCTACAATTGAAAAATATATCCTCGAAAACAAAACAAACATAAAATCGTTGCCTTACCTTCATTTGCACTGTTTTGTTTGTGCATTTTCATTGACACATTATTTTTCATATGTTCTACTGCGACTACGCGATAAACTACGTCCTCGATCGGCAATGCCACCCAAACCGGCACTTGATAAGCCATTACGGCTATCGCTACGGCTTAGGGAACGTCTGACGGGACTGCGAGAGAATTTAGTGCGTCTCACTGGTGATCGACTTTGTGGTGAACGCGAACGTGAATATGAACGACGACGGGGGCTGCGTGAACGGCGACGTACGGGTGAACGTGAGCGACGACGACCGCCGCCACCACCACCACCTCCACGACGACCATTGTTGCGGCGATTGTTATTGCTGGGTGATGTGGGACGACCATAACGTGCCATTTGGACACGCAACTCCCTGCCATCTAATTTACGACCATCCATAGCTTCCAAAGCTTCTTCGGCATCACGTTTGTCATAAAATCTACAATGATACAATATTTAATAGATTATTAATTGAGGGAAATTAGATTCGTTTAATTTTTAAAGTAAATAAATGAAAAATATTGTAGTTTTCGTACGTAGGTCATCTAGTAATTATTTGGTAGACAACAGTTGCAAAGTGAAAACAATTTTTATAGCACCTTTCTGCAAATGTAATCTTCACTAATAAATATAAAAGATTACAGTAGAAAAGCAGATAGTGCAAAAAATACAAATTTATGACATTTTGAGTCAATCCTTAGAATTGAATAATTCGACACCATGGCCGGTAGTACCTTCTGCCGCCTGTGTGTACAATAAGGCGGCATATATGGTATACATACACAAAACAAAGTGCAAAATTAAGGCGTAAATAAATGAGGTGGTTAGTAGCATCTACCGCTTTGGTATTATTTTCCTTCAAATTTTACATAATTTCTGCAGATATTTACTTATAATCAATCTACACAAAACACAAACAAAAAAATGTAGCACTTACCTAACAAATGCAAATCCCCGGCTTTCACGGGTGTAACGATCGCGTGGAATATAAATGTCACCAACATCGCCACAACGTTCAAAGACACGTCGCAAATCTTCTGGAGTTGTACGATATGTTAAATTATCAACCTGAAAAGGAATATTTGTAAAACAATAATTATCATCATTCGGCGACCATGTGAAAAAAAGTAATCTTATATCTGAAATGACGCCATCTTGTTTTTACACCAACAAGGCGTCGTCATCATCATCATCACCCATTATCTCAACTGATAACCCTTAAAAACTCCAAATTCGACTTACCTTTAAAGAAATCATACCATCAATACGTGGTGGTGGACGTCCTCCATTGCTGTTTCCGCTCATTCTGCTGCTACGACTGGTCATACAAATTTACCCAATAAAATTTTTTAATTGGAAATGTGGTATTCTAATAAAACCGTGGCACGGTGCTATATTAAATATGGCGGATGTGACAGCTGCCGAATGCTGACCCTACACTTCACAGAAAAACACGTCCACACGGCAAGAAAAATTAAATGCGAATGAACGATGATAGGTAACTCGACTTTCGATTAATCGTCTAATCGACTTTTAGTACTCAAAGTTCTGACAGTCATAGTCGACTTTGGAATGTGGTGAAAACCAAATAATCGACTAATAATAATCGATTGTGCGACAAATTGGTGCATTTTAAAAACAATTAATTTAAAAATGTAAAAACGATTCCATCTTTGGAATACTTCAAGAATCAGAATCGGTTCTTTGGAATTTGGGAACGTTATCAAATACTCCGTTGCTACTTATATAACATGTAAATGAATGAATTCTCTCACAACTCTGATAAATAGGGATGAGTAGATCGACTATTGAATAATAATAATGTAAAAACAATTCCATCTCCGGATTACTTCAAGAATCAGAAGAGTTTCTCTGGGATCTTAGTACATTATTAAATGATTCGCCGCTACTAATATAACATACAAATGAATGATTTCTCTCACATTCCTCATAAACACGCCAATCGGAGGTTGTTATAATATGCATTTTTTAACAATATTTACACATTTGAGTATTTTTTCATTCAACAATTTCGATTCCAAAATTGGTTTGACAGTTCAATGTCCCAGCAGCTGTGTCGAAGCGTCTACCTATATTCTTCTACCATGGATTATCGACAGTTTGCTCACCTAACCTGGCGTTTGGTATTTGGCGTTTATGCAAAGGAATAATAAAACAACGGCGGACTTAAGCTGCAAGTACATAAGAAGCTTGAAGTCATGGCTAGGCATATTTTGTAACATAAAGGGAGTAAGAGCCGCACTAAAATCCTGCCGTCGTTATCCATTATAACTTGACATTAATATGCCTAGCCGTGACTTCAAGCCTTTTATGTACTTCCATTCTTTCCGCTTGTGTTAATTTTTTGTATGTTTTTTAGGCAAAGGAGGTTAAATGTGGGTCTGTTCCAGTACCTGCTGATTCTTGCAGTTTTGCGATTTTTTTTTTGATTTTATAAAGGGAATTCGGTTATCGTAGCAAAAAACTTAACATTCTTCCAGTTCTGGAACAGAGCATATGTAAATGGCCTTAATACGGTAACCCATGGCACAATCACAGAAGGTAGAACAAAGTAGGAGGTAGCTTTGCAATGTTTTTCTTTTGGTGGCCTTATTCTTATTTTGGGATAAAAGTGTATTGCCCTACTATCTTAGATATAATATTATGGAATAGCCCCAAAATTCCATTCTTGTTACGCGGATTTCCCCCATAATAAGATTTTTGTTAAAAAATGAAAAACAAAGTCATTGAACAAAGTCACTGAAATTGCAATGAGAACATATCATAAACAGAAATATATAATCATTATTATTGATTTCATGTATAGCCTGATGACTTTACCAGTTATGACATCGGCATTTGATTATCTATAAAAAAATAGTCATCGATTGTTTTTTTTTTCAATGTGATTTCATCAAATAGTCGATTACAATTATGCCGAAACTCGATTGAAGTGTCCCTATTTCCTATCTGCGTGGCTATTGAAATTGTGCTGCTGGTGGATAATTTTGAATTGTGTTCAATACTTTTTTTTACAATAAATACCATCAGGATAGACTTTTATTCTTCAATTTTACACCCGTAACTATTCATTCAGTGAACCAGTTCGTACACATTGTGATATTTAGTCACAAAAAAGAAGCAACAGAACACGCAGTCCAAGAAGAAAATTCCTTTGTCGTCGTCAGTTGAGTGAAAAACGTGATTTTCGCGTAAACGAGACAGGGAAAAGAAAGTGTGAAATTCATAAAAAAGAAGTGTGTGAATGCAATAGAGAGGGGCCGCTTTGAAAAAGTTTGGAACGGTGTGTGGCGTGTGTTATTTTTCGCAAGTTGGGTCTGTTACAACATTTAGTTTGCGATAAAAATTACAAGCGCCCCATTGAAGGTTATATTTTTTTTGGATTGGAATTCTCACGGGGCGAGCGAGCGAGCGAGTGAACGACGAACGGACAAATCAACCGGAGAAGTAGTGTTGTGTGAGAGAACGAACTTGTGTTGTTGTTGTTGTTACGTGTGCATGTTTGAGTGCGCGTAGAGAAGTTAACTAACCGGAGTGTACCGCCTCAATCCAAGTGTCGAACGAAGTTAAAATTTGAAAACAGCAAAGAAAGCAGAAATTCGACAAAAAAAGTAAAGTAAAAAAGTTATACAAGCAAAATGGCTCAAGAAAACTCCGATATGTCCACAAAATTCTCCACACTAAATGTCAATGCTGCGGAATTTGTACCGAGCTTTGGCAGCTTCAGTGCGGCCGTTGTCAGTTCTATAAATAATGACAACAGTGCGCCGGCTGCTGCCACCATTGCTGCTCCCATGGATACAACCAGCGTGCCAGCCTCTACCAGCGGCACTCCTGCCACCACACCTAATTCGGATGCATCCGCTTCGGGTTCCCTGAATGCACTTAGCCAGGCGGCGGCCGGTGAGGTTGCACCAGCGGAATCTCCAATGCAAACGTCACCAGTGAAGGTTGCTGCACCTGTGGAAAACATCAATACAGCCGATAAAATTGCAGCTAATAATGGTAACATATTTTTTGGAATGAAATTAGATATTTAAAGCGGTGCGGGGGCTTTGTGGGGGTACTTACTGAAACCTAGTTGGGTAGTGTTGTGGGGGTAGTGCATAGGCAATGGAAAAAATGACGTCATGACCAACCAGTAATCTATTGTCACAGATGTTGGAGGTCTTCGCCTCTTTTGCATTTTTTGCATGTTGTTATTGTTTGTGTGTTACTTTTTTTTTCTTCATAGCCAGCCCCGGTGGGTTGGCCATTAGCCACTAGTTGTATGTCATTGATTCATGAGTCGGTCGGTCGGTGGTCTGGTCTACCTTTCGGCAGTCACAGATACTCTTGTGTTTTCACTTTTTCATTCAATACTTTTATTTTTTTTTGTTTTCGATATAACCTCAAAAACTACGTGCAGAGTGGCATTTAAGAAAAATACTGGCTGGCGGTGATGACTGGGGGTTTTCCATGGCTTTTGTGTAATGCAAAACAAAATTTTGTTATTAATTTATAAACGAAATCAATCTTTCTTTTTTCGAGTTTTACCTTTCCATGTGTTTTTGTTGCCCTGCTTTGTTTGTTGTTGCTCCCAAACATATTTTTGCTTGTTTTTTGTTGTTCTTTCCGAATACCCAATCAAAGTAATCTCATTTCTCTTTTGTTTGTTTCTCTCATTTCTTGAGCGAGGGGGGAGAGCTCATTTTTAGAGTCTGCTTTTGCTTTTCTTCGTCGTCTTCTTCATTTACTTGCTATTGTATTTGTTGACACGTTAACTTTTTTTGATTGCCATTGAATTTGATCCAATAATTGAATTTGTTAAATTAACAAATGGGACACTTGAGGATTACGGTGTAAATGCTGCACTGGAATATTGAAGATTTTCTTTTCTGTAAGTGAAGTGAAAATTTCTCACAGCTATGAGTTAGTAAAAGTTAAAATCTGAAGGTAGATCTTTCCCCCTGATTCGGAGAATGTAATTTCATTAGACACTGTTCCCAAATAAAAAAAAAACTGGGTTTGGAAACTGGTTTACTGAACCTGTGGCAACAAGTGGCGACGTGATTGGAGAATGTTAGTCAGGGTGTATTAAAATTGTCTTTCCGTTATTACACCTCCACACATTTTTCGGAGGTCTTATGAAGTAAATATTTGCATGATCAGAATAAAAATCTATGGATTTAACTATGTCCGCGTGTCAAACTTTCTGTCTGTTGAAATTGTGGCAGAGGTCGCACTATAATAGATGAAGTCCGAAAATTTAAAAGCCTGGAATTATCCGAGGATCTCTGTTTCTAGGTTTCGGCCAATAAAATAAATTGGAAGCAACTCTAGTTTAGTAAAAACTCTTCGATTTTTTTCGAAGAAGTTTCCAGGGGTAGATATTTTTGTATCCTAATTCCGGAAAACAATTTTTTTTCTTGGGAACAAAAGATTTTTGATCCGAAAGACCCGGTTTAAGACCATCCACTTACCTGATATAAACAATATAGGTATCTTTGGAAAGCTTATGAAATTACCTATCCAACAACTGGCCATATGACGATTCGGAAGTTATAGTCAATTTTTTGGACCCGGATTTTTATAAAACCCTCAAAAAGTCCAAAAATAGGTCCGTCAACAAAATTGTTCCTAAATTGTAGCTAACATTTCCAAAATGCGTCAAGTTGTGCTAATGGCTTTTTCGGAACCAGATTATCTAAATTTAATTCTTTTTGATTTATACCCCCAAATATTTAATAAATACCCACTTTGTGGTATTGCCCTCTTATAATTTTTCATCCTAATATTCCTTATTTCGAAGAGTTTGGAACCAATTTCCAAAACATTTAAGCTGTAATTTTGAATTTCGGTTTCTCCACAGGTTTAAAAATTCCACGCAAAAAATCAGGTTCACTGCTTGATATAGTAACTACATAAAAGTACCTCCAATATCCTACCAAATCAGCTATTATTTGATTCTTAAAGTCCTCAGTGATTAAACTCATTTCTATATTTCATTTCAATATTCCCCATAAACGGTACTTTCTGTTTTTGCTACTTTGAATGTGCCAGCCACTTCATCTAATATTTCGGAACTCCTCTAAAAATATTTAAATTCCCAAAATTGAGGTGTATTAAGGGTTATAAAAAGTCCGACCTTCAACAAATTTTAATTTGAAGAGAACTCTATACTAATAGACGGAGAAACTTAGGCCTCAACCAAAGCTTCTTGCCTCGTTTCGGATTTTGTTTGAAAGTAGAGACTTCTCTCACAAAAAACATGTGGGGGTACGGCCGCTCTATTTTTCAGTGTTTCCTACAAGAGAGACCACACAATTTAGAGTTCCTTGAAAATTATGCTAGATTTCGGATGCTTGGTTAGACCAGATGAAAGCATATATCCCGAAAAGAAACAACAAAATGCAGTTCGCATTTATTGTCCGATGAAAAGATGAGATTTTCCAAACTATTTTCCAACGTTTGACCCAAGGACAAACCCTATCGAAATCGGTGATAATCGGACCAGATTTAGATATAGCTCTCACATATCTTCATCCGATTTCGAGTTAGTTGTGCACCAAATGGCCAATATCAGTCCAAATGACCCGACCCGACCCAATTCAGTCTAGAAGCAAGTACATCAAATTTGGTGGAAATCGGTTCAGATGTAGTTATAGCTCCCATTTATATGTTTCATCCGATTTGGTGTTTAAGTCCCTCACATTAGCAATATGCATTCGACAACAATGATATTTGGTACCAGATTTAGCCCAGGCATACCCCTGTCAATTTTTATCAAGATCGGTTTAGATTTGGATATAGCTCCGATATATTTTCAACAGATTTCGTGTTAATTTTGCACAAAATGGCCAATATAAGTCCAAATGACCTTAATTTTGGCACATCCAATTGATTTCAGTCTAGAAGCAAGTACATCAAAAATCGGTTCAGATATAGCTATAGCTGCCATATATTTGTTTCCTCCGATTTGGTGTTTAAATCCCCCACATTCGCAAAATGCACCTCACAAGAATGATGTTTGGTACAAGATATTATATAGAGCTCGGAAATACCTTTGCCAAATTTTATGGAGATCGGCTAAGATTTGGATATAGATCACATATACATCTTTAATCCGATTTCAGGTTTATTGAAAAAAACCTGAAGCTAAATAATGGCTAATATCAGCCCAAATGGAGTGAATCTCGGGACGTTCTTTTCCATTTTGTGGAACTTGGCTCCGATATATATTTTTTTATTATAATTTTAATATAATCCTTCTCGAAGTGATACCATGCACTCTATAGCAATGTTATTTGGTATAAAAGATTAAAATGTCTCCGTCAAATTTAGTGAAAATCGATTCAGAATTAGATATGCCTCTCATATATTAGTTCCCTCAGAAACCAAACTATAACTGCTTTAAAGCCAAATTTTGATAGGTGATATGATCTACTTCAAACAAATTCTTTGGATAACGGAGCTCTACTAAATATGCATAGTGGTGTAGGGCATCATATAGTCCGCCCGCCCGACATTTGAATTTCCATACTGGTTACGTCCTGAAGAAAAATATCTTCCTGATCTAATCCATAGCCATTTGAGACCTTTGGGAAAAATTGACAAGGTTATAGGTTCCACGCAAGGCGTGTAAGAATGATATTGTAACACAGAAGAGTCGGTCTGTCTGAATATCGAGGATATTGAGAGATGGCAAACATTTTTTTGTATCCAAGTGACGATTGTATGCTTAAGAGAATTGAATTCCTCAAAACTAAGACAACCTGACACCTGAATATTTTCCTTATATTCAAAGAGAACTTGTGCTACTTCTTATTTAGCTAATATCGTATCAAATAAACATGCTTTTGTTTTTTGGTAGCTGCTTAACTAAATATATTTTTTTTACCAGTTTGGTGGGCATGCAACTACTACTACTACTCGGTCGGTCAATAAACATATGTGAAATGTTTGTCGATTCCACTTAAATACCACGGTACACAACCAGTCCAGTGACCATTCCACTTAATAGCATGACTAGAAGAAATGTTTACGATGAAGCCATATGGCATGTTTCCTTCAGCTCCAACTATTCTGGTGTTCAACGGATTATTACTTACTCTTCATTGCACAAATGTGTCTGCATGTTCCCATGTAAATATGTACAGTGATTGGGTAAAATTTCAATTTTATTTCAAAAGGAAATTTTAATTTTAATGGTTCAATTTGAGGTTTGAATCTTGAATTTGTGCTCGGGTTTTGCGATTATGAAACGATACTGGTTCAATATTTTCTATTAAGAAAAAAAAAATGGTTTTGAAAGGGCGAAGCAAACAATATATATCCTGAATTTTTGTCTATATAACCATTTTATATAACATATTTGTGCCCGATTTTCTGGCAGGTGAATATTTTTGAGTACTCCTGTTACAATTTGAAAAAAATATGGTTTTGGAAAGGATGTGCAATATTTGCATTCATCCTATTATTTTGCAATTTTTTTCCCCTTTTTAAGACAAAGTCCTCAATTCCTCAATTTTTAAAATAGCTTTCATAGACCTTTATAGGCCTAAAATCGTAGGGTTAAAAAATATCTCAAGTTGTGCAGTTTTGAAAACTTCTTTTCATGTTCTCCTTAAAGTCTCAGGTCGCTAATTTGTATACCCTCCACCATAGTATGGAGGGTATATTAAGTCTGTCATTTCGTTTGTAACACCTCGAAATATACGTTTTAAACCCCACAATGTATATATATATTCTTGATCAGCATACAATTCATGTTGATTTAGCGATGTCCGTCCGCCTGTGGAAATCACTCTTGCTTCCGAACGAAATGAAGTAGGTTGATAAAATTTTACTCATATATTATGTCAGGTCGTTTGGTATTTGTTATTTTGGTATAGCCCCATGCAATGGTACCTCCCGATATTCGGTATTTTGGTGATTTAAGCGAATTTAGTCACCGGAAATGTTTCAAATTTGGCATTTGAAGTTTGTAATGGATATTACAGCCTATGACAAAAGATTGTCTGTGCAGGTCCACGTTTTGGTATAGCCAACATATTATGGTACCTCCCGATATTCGGTATTTTGATGGTTTTAGCTACATTATTCACCGGAATTGTTTCAAATTTGATATTTAAAGTTGGTAATAGGTACTACAGCCTAAGACAGAAATTTGTCTGTGCAGGTCCACGTCTTCGTATAGCCCCCATTCAACGGTACCTCCCGATATTCGGTATTTTGATAATTTTAGCGACATTATTCATCGGAATTGTTTCAAATTTGATATTTAAAGTTGGTAATAGGTACTACAGCCTAAGACAGAAAATTACCAGTGCAGGCTTACGTTTTGGTGTAGCCCCCATATAATGGTACCTCCTTAAATTCAGTATTTTGGTGATTTTATCAACATTATCTACCGGAATTTTTTCGAATTTGGTATTTGAAGTTCCTAATAGATACTACAGCCTATGAGATAAAATTATCTGTGCAGGTCCACGTCTTCGTGAAGCCCGATATAACGTCTCTTCGCAATATTTAATATTTTGATGATTTTAGCGACATTATTAACCGGAATTGTTTCAAATTTGGTATTTGAACTTCGTAATGACAGCCTATGACAGAAAATTGTCTGTGCAGGTACACGTTTTCGTATAGCGCTCATATAATGGTACCTCCCTATATTCGGTATATTGATGACTTTAGCTACATTATTCACCGGAATTGTTTCAAATTTGGTATTTGAACTTCGTAATGGATACTACAGCCTATGACAGAAAATTGTCTGTGCAGGTACACGTCTTCGTATAGCGCTCATATAATGGTACCTCCCTATATTCGGTATATTGATGACTTTAGCTACATTATTCACCGAAATTGTTTCAAATTTGGTATTTAAAGTTCGTAATGTATATTTCAGCTTAAAAAAAAATTGTCTGTGAAGGTCTACGTCTTCGTATAGCCTCCATATAACGGTACCTCCCGATATTCGGTATTTTGATGATTTTAGCTACATTATTCACCGAATTTTTTTCAAGTTTAGCGTATGAATATTGTAATGGCTTATGACAAAAGTTGCCTATGCAGGTCCACGTCGTCGTATAGACCCTAATATAAATATTTCTACATTCGGCATTTTTAAGTTTTTAACAGAATTTTTAAGGGATTTTATTTTTTGAAAATTGCCAAAATCGTTCCGAATGGTGAATGGTATTCAAAGTTCGGCCCAGTCGAACTTACAGCTTGTTTACTTGTTTTTAATAAATTTTCCTTTTTTTATTTTTTTAATCTTTTTTACGGGCCCAAGTCGAGGATTTTTTAAGTATTTTCATTGTTCTTTTAAAGTTCCAAGTTATCGAAATTTATGCCCCTACTAAGGTTCCAAATACTGGGTTTTTACATTTTTTTTTAAATTGAGGTTTTAAATACGAGATTTTTTAAATATTTTCAAAATTTTCGATAATGGTTTGGTCTGTTTAAGGCCTTTTATCGTTGCGTTTTTAAAGGACTCTCAACGTCCAGTCACAGATAATATAAAATTGTCTTAGGTCGTAATTTTTTGGAGAATAAAGTATTTATTATGTCTTGGGATTTAAATGTAGACCTTTCCTAGTTTTTCGAAATCTCAAGTAAGGAATTTGTATTTTTCCTAAAATGAAAGAAATATTTGAATCTACAAGTATTAATTGCATAATATATTTTTTTTTTATAGAAAACGATCCTGCCGACAGCTGGGATGTTGAAGAGGAACCCGTCATTACACCCGATGATGAAGAAGCTGAAGATATTGAAGAAGTCGAAGGTGATGCCACACCAAAGGTGTCAAAGAAAAAGATACCAAAAGTAGAAGACACAAAGAGCAAAAAAGAACATGTCAATGTTGTTTTCATTGGTCACGTTGGTAAGTTTTAATAATAAAAAGTGAAATCCGCCAGCCAAAGTAACACTATTTATTTAATTTCCGATAGATGCTGGTAAATCAACAATTGGTGGCCAAATTATGTCCCTAACTGGCATGGTCGACAAACGTACACTGGAAAAATACGAACGTGAGGCACGTGAAAAATCTCGTGAAAGTTGGTATCTCTCATGGGCCTTGGACACAAATCAAGAGGAACGTGACAAGGGCAAAACCGTTGAAGTGGGTCGGGCATATTTCGAAACAGAACGTAAACATTTCACCATTTTGGATGCTCCTGGTCACAAAAGTTTCGTACCAAATATGATTGGTGGTGCGGCACAGGCCGATCTGGCCGTTTTGGTTATATCGGCGCGAAAAGGTGAATTTGAAACTGGTTTCGATCGTGGCGGGCAGACACGTGAACATGCTATGTTGGCCAAAACAGCTGGTGTCAAACACCTGGTTGTACTCGTCAATAAAATGGACGATCCAACAGTCAACTGGGATGAGGCACGCTACAACGAATGCAAAGACAAGATCCTACCTTACCTCAAAAAATTAGGTTTTAATCCAGCCAAGGATTTAACCTTTATGCCATGCTCAGGTTTAAGTGGAGCCGGTTTACGTGATACTATACCCGATACAATTTGTCCATGGTACAATGGCCCAGCCTTTATACCATTCATTGATCAGTTGCCTTCACTTAATCGCAAAGCCGATGGACCATTCATTATGCCCATTGTTGATAAATACAAGGATATGGGTACGGTTGTAATGGGCAAGGTTGAGTCGGGTACTGCGCGAAAGGGCCAGAATTTGTTGGTGATGCCTAATAGGGTAAGTGGGTGATTAAAATCATTTCGTTATAGAGAAGTGTTTTATAAACTTTTTTATTTTTTTATAGACACAAGTTGCTGTTGATCAACTTTGGTCTGATGATGATGAAGTCACCTCTGTGGGTCCTGGTGAAAATGTCAAAATCAAGCTGAAGGTTAGTAGCTGATTTTTTTTTGTTGGGGTTTAATTGCTAAAGATTTTTTTGTTTGATTTTTAGGGCATTGAAGAAGAAGATGTCTCACCTGGTTTTGTATTGTGCGATGCCTCTAATCCTATTAAAACTGGCAAAATATTTGATGCTCAAGTCGTTATCTTGGAGCATAAATCAATTATCTGTGCTGGTTATTCGGCCGTCATGCATATACATTGTGCAGCTGAAGAAGTTACCGTTAAAGTAAGTTTTTGAGTTATTATTCAAAGATGAACTTTCCATTTTTTTCCAAACCTATTTAATTGTTTTGTCGTATTTGGAAACCATTGTTCTCCAACAGTTATTGTCTAGAAATATATATTTGAAATTTAGATAAAATCGATTCATCTATATCTGCAGCCAATATTTATAGATGACAGAAGCTCGAAGGCTAAAATGTGCATTTCATATCAAATATCTGAAACGTTTCTCTTGAATTCGGCTCAAATTTAATTCCAGCTCCCAACAATATTCCACCGTTTTGTATACCCTCAGCCATATGGCGTGTCTAGTCGAAATAACGGTTTTAGACTCTAGGTCTCTTTGCATCAAAGTTTAGGGACATTTGGAGTCGATCTAGCGATGTCAGTCCGTCCATCCGCCCGTCTGTCTGGCTGGCTGGCTGGTGTGCACGAAAACTCTCGAAGGGAGTATCTGATTTGATCCAAACTTGGTACATCGTAATATTATTGTCCAACTTAGATCGAGTTGGGAGATGGGCAATATCGGTCCACTCCTTCTGGTACCTCCCCCAGAAAATGTCAACATTTTTAAAGAAAATAATCAACCTCTCAGAAAGAGAAAGGATAATCCGATTTTGATACAACTTTGTAAATCTCAATATTTGCATCAGTGCTAGGTCTTGTGCGAAAATGGACAATATCGGTCCACTCCATTAAGTACCTTCCCCACAAAGGGTCAAAATTTTGAATAATTATAACTCTTATAAAATGTGATGTGAGTGTTGGATTGTCTTCAAATTACACACATCACAATATTTTTATTATCCCAAGGTCCAGTGTGAAGATGGAATATATCGGTCCACACCTTCGGGGGTACCACAAAATGTCAAAATTTTCAAAGAAAATAATTTTTTGTACACAAAGAGAAAGGATAATCCGATTTTGCTCCAACTTTGCGAATCCTAATATTTTCATCAGTGCTAGGTCAGGTGCGAAATTGAACAAAATCTGTCCACTCCATCAGGCACCTCCCCCACAAAGGGTCACAATTTGGGATAATTAAAACTGTTAGAAATGTGATGTAGGTTTCCGATTGTCTTCAAAGTACACACATCACAATGCTTTTATTAACCCAAGTTCTGGTGTGAAGATAGAATATATCGGTTCAGTCCTTCCGGTACCTCCCCCACAAAGGGTCTAAGTTTTGAATATTTATGAAGCTTATAAAACACGAAATTAACATCCGATTCAATTCAGATTTGGCACATCTCAATATTTCCATAAACACAAGATCTCTTATAAAGAAGGTGAAGATCGGACTACACCTTCTGGTACCTCCCCCACAATGGGTCAAAATTTTGAATAAACAAAACGATCATAAAATCCGAAATTAGCATCCGGTTCTCTTCAAATTACACGCATCACAATATTTATATTAACCCAAGGTCTAGAGAGAAAGTGGGATATATCGGTCTACTCCTTCTGGTACCCTCCCCACATAGGGTCAACATTTTGCATATAGAAGCTTAGAAAACGCGAAATTAACATCCGATTCCATTCAGACTTGTCACATCTCAATATTTCTATCAACACAAGATATGTTATAAAGATGGTGGAGATCGGACTACACTTTCTGGTACCTCCCCCACAAAGGATTCAAAGTTTTGAATAACCAAAACTATCATAAAATCCGAAATAAGCATCCGGTTCTCTTCGTATTTCACACATCCCATCATTTCTACTAACACAAGATCTGATATGAAGATAGTAGAGGTCGGACCATTGCTTCTGGCACCTCCCCCACAAAGTGTCAATATTTTGAATAACCAAAACGATCATAAATTTCGAAATAAGCATCCGGTTCTCTTGAAATTTCGCACATTCCATTAACAATAAACAATAAATATATATATAAATATATGAGATTAGTGTGGTGCTTGAATTCCTGTTCCAAATTTATATGACGGGCTTATAGGATATACTAATGTCTCATACTTTTTGTTATTGTTTTGATATTAATTTTTGATTATTTTCATTGAAGGCCCTCATTTGCTTGGTTGACAAAAAGACCGGCGAAAAATCAAAATCACGTCCAAGATTCGTTAAGCAAGATCAAGTGGCAATTATGAGAATTGAATGTTCCGGTATGATTTGTTTAGAACAATTTAAACTATTCCCACAAATGGGAAGATTTACTCTGAGAGATGAAAGTAAGTTAACTTAAAACATTTTCCTAAAATGATCTTAAATAATTAAATAAATTATTATTTCTTTTTCCAGACAAAACAATTGCTATTGGCAAAGTGTTGAAGGTGATCGAGTAAATTGAGCCAAGCTTAATTTTTTTGTAATTTTAATTTTCTTGAGTGCTTCAAGCCCCGCCTTTTTTAAAAGAAAAAAAAAAAAACAAAATAACATGAAATTTATAAAAACAAAAATCAACATTAACATCTAATTTTAAAAAGTAGGCTTTTTAAGCCCAGCCGTCGTCGTCAACCTAGGAAAACAAAATTGAATAACGTTATGAAAATAAATTCAAAAAACTGCAAACTACCAACAACCTTTCTTTAAAAAACAAAAACCACAACAACAACAACAACAAAACGGAAATTAAGAAAACCATGAACTTTAAAGAGAAAAAAAAAAATATAAAACAAATAATAAAGGAAAACATTAAAATAAAAACGAAACAAACGAATAACAAGGATCTTTAATAAATTACAGATAATTATAAAAGTATAAAAAACAAACAAACAAAATCGTCGTATATAAAATATATATTATATTATTACTATTATTAAATATGAGATGAAAAAAGAAAAACAAATGCGAAAAAGAAACAGAATTATATATGATTATTACTATGTTTTTTTTTTTAATTTTCTTTGTTAACCTTGGAAAAAGTAACAAATTGAGAGCAGAGTGTAGAGTCATAAAAATATAGAGTATATGATATTTTTTTTGGATAGACACCGGTCTGTAACTGATCTGAAGGCAAGAATACAATATATTGGCTTGTTATAAACAATGCCTGTCTGGGGTTGATCCAGCTGTTTGCCAATCGCTGGCCGAGGAATGTAATATAAAAATAATAAAAACTTTTCAATAGAGGGAGAAGATAAAAGGGAATAAATTCAATAAAAATGAATAAATTTTCATTAGCTGATCAGTTGATAATGAAATTTGGAATGGCTGATAAGTTAGCAACCATTACTGTTTTAACAGCTGACCTATAAAAATGTAGACTAACTTGTTCTTTAATATTAAAGTTTTAGCATGATATTAATATTCGGCCCTATTACCGTTGTCGTCGCCGTTGCAAAATTAAGTCGAGGCGACAATAACGGTATTAAGGTTGTCGTTTTTTGTCGATAGCGATTAATGATTGCAAATATCATTGACGATACAACAGTCAACGTGAAGTCGTTTTTTTAGAGAATATCTGCGGCCGTAAAAATGTGTGACGACATTGTATTTTTTAGTCGACGTTGATATTTTAACCATTTTGTATTTGATATTTGACCATGAAAATAACAACAACAAAACAATTTGGAAATATTGAAGCCATTTCCGACACTGGTTTAATAAGATCCTAGCGCTAAAACCCTCAATGCTGTGGTGGGCAATTGGAACAACTCTAGTGTAATAAAAACTTCGATTTTTTCGAAATTTTTTCCAGAGCTAGTTATTTTTAGCCTGATTCCGGGAAACTGATTTGATTTGAGTGAATCGCTTACCCAATATAGGGTTTGAAAACTTATACCTATCCAACAAGTGTTCACATGACCACCGAAGGCCGGCTACTTACAACAACTGTTAAATTTAGAAATCTTTAGTTCGCGTAGCCGGTTGAACATACCCAGAAGAGAATATCTCTGACCCAGCCAGAAAAGGTATTAGCACAAATTTTATAATTTTGGTAAGGTAAGAGTGTTGATAAAAAATCCGGGTCTAAAAAAATCGATAATTTGACTATAACTTCAGAACCGATGGCCTATAAATAAGCCCATCATGTGACAAAGTGTTTAGAATTCAAAATTCAAAAAAGTTTGTATCTTTTTTGTCAATAACAAGTGAGTGTTGCCAACGTTTTTTAAGTTGTTGCCAACTTTTATTTTAAACTGTAGATGTCGCGAGGGCGAGGGCGACTTGCACATAACGTCGACGATGACTACAGAAACGACAACCATAATAGGACCGACTGTTAAATTTTTGTTACAGAATCAATGGCGAACTAAATACAAATGGTTCCCAACACACTCTATGATGATGCAACAGTTTTGTTCAATCCATACTCAGACAGATATTGTTTATAACATAAACGAAGTATCCAGGCTCCTTGGGTGGTTCGAATGAAAACTTTACTGGGCTGTATTTCTTTTTTTTCTCTTATGTATGTATGTCTCTTTTAGGCTCTATATCAAAATTCTTTCAAAATCATCAATCAAATGTAGAAAATTATTAAATGCTGTTTCTTTTAACTTTTTTTTGAAAAGATCAAGTTATTTTGCCACTTCATTTATTGTGTGAAAAAGACAAAGAAACAAATACTAAAATAATGAGCAAGGGAATCATTTTTAACGACAACACCAAGATTACAACACTTCACACTACAAAACATACCGGAAAGATAAATAACAACAACAACAACTATAGTCACTAAATTACCAATTAAGCAATTTGCAAAATGGCCTACAGTCACCGTTAAAATATACATATATTTTGTTTCTTATTTTAAGTGAAATAATATACATTTATATATATGCATATGGAGATGATGAAGCGATTCTAAATTAAATTCTTATTCCCAAAAACCAACATCTTTCCCGGCAAATGATCATTTTGATGATGCTAAGGGCAAGCAATAGACCCCTGGCTTATTACCATAAATCCCAAGTAATTGGTTGGCATTTTATTAAATAAAAACATTTCCAATGAAAAGAATCCATAATTTGTATGTGTTTAAAAAATACATTTTTAAAATATTTATATATGAAGGACTTATTGTATAAAAACATTATCAGGACAATCATGAATTGTAATTCAGTGGGTACCCACTTTTTCTGTCTCAAGTTTGAGGACCATTTATTTTCTAATATTAACTGAAAATTTGGAGCATATCAAATTAAAAACATTTTAAAAATTAAAAAAAAAATTAACAAACTAAAAGATTTTGGGATTATTCGAATTTAATTTAATTGTCAATATCACTAAATTTTCATTACAATAAGTTCTTCCTTGTCAATTTTATTTCTAATTTATTTTCCCACTCCTCCTTCTACAGATTGTCCCCCACATTGCCACCACATCAATATATAAATTTGTTATTTTCTCTTATTAAAATATTACTTATTATTGTTCATATTAAAAAAAACATTTTTAAACGAACTAAGAAGTAATTTAGCTTTTATATTTAAAAAAAAAGAAAATCAGGAAATATTGCAAATAATAATCATTATTGGAAAAAAACAACCACATTTGATTCTTTTTTTATTTTTTGCGGCATGATTTTATTTTATTTTTTTTTTATTAAAAACAAACTTAAATACCCAGGAGTTCATTTAACAAGACTACATTTTTATACCCTACAGTGGTAAGGGTATTATGTCTTTGCGCATTTGTTTGTAACATGGAGAAGGAAGCGAGATCGACCCATAGTTTCTTTTGAGGATCTTTCGACTTTCGAGTCTTTCTGAGTTGATTTATGCATGTCAGAATGCAGGTTGCATTTATTATCCGATTGAGATGAAATTTTCCAAACAATATATTTTTTTTGGCCAAGGACGAACCCTTTTGAAATTGGTGATAATCGGATCATATTTAGATATAGCTCCCATATATATCTTCAACCGATTGCGGGTTAATTGTTCACCATATGACCAATATCAGCATAAATGGGCTGAATTTTGGCACATCCGACCGAATTCAGTCTAGAAGCAAGTACATCAAATTTGGTTCAGATATAGCCATAGCTTTCATATATACAGGGTATGAAAAAAACTGCAACAAAGTCAAACGCCATAATTCTTAATTTTTTTTTAAAAATTTTATTGAATGAAAGCCAAAAATGTCGGAAATAGCATTAAATTTTAGAATAAGTTTAGATTTGTTCGAATTGGTCACCTTTGGTACGAATTATGGCCTTTAAACGGCCAATGAAACCGTCACACGCTGTCCGAATGTTGCTCTGCAGTATTTTGGCCCATTCCCGGCGAAGCGCTTGCTTGAGGTGTTCGACACTTCGGTATTTTTTAGTGCCAACCTTGCTTTCCAAAATACTCCAGACAAAATAGTCTAACGGATTGGTATTCGGAGATTTTGGTGGCCATTGTGCGATGGAAATGAAGTGAGGATCTTCATTTTGTAACCAAATTTGGTATTTGAAATTCGTAATGGATACTACAGCCTATGACAGAAAATTGTCTGTATGGGTCCACGTCTTCGTATAGCCCCCATATAACGGTACCTCCCGATATTCGGTATTTTGATGATTTTAGCGACATTATTTACCGGAATTGTTTCAAATTTGGTATTTCAAGTTCGTAATGGATACTACAGCCCATGACACAAAAAATTGTCTGTATGGGTCCACGTCTTCGTATAGCCGGTATATAGATATTCGGCATTTTTATGATTTTAGCGACATTTTTTACCGGAATTGTTTCAAATTTGGTATTTCAAGTTCGTAATGTATGCTACAGGTCATGACACAAAAAATTGTCTGTATGGGTCCACGTCTTCGCATAGCTTCCATATAAAGGTTCCTCCCAATATTCGACATTGTTATGATTTTAGCGACATTTTGATGATTTTAGCTACATTATTTACCGGATTTTTTTCAAGTTTCTTAATTGAATATTGTAATGGCTTATAACAAAATTTGTCTATGCAGGTCCACGTTGTCGTCCAACGGCTACATTCGGTATTTTTAAGACTTTAACAGAATTTTTAACGGATTTTATTTTTTTGAAAATTGCTAAATTCATTCCAAATGGTGGAGGGTATTCAAAGTTCTGCCCGGCCGTACTTACAGCTTTTTTACTTGTTCTAGGATCAAAATACAAGTGGGACGTTATTACAAACACTCCATGATACATAGGTGTATTGGGCAGCAATGTGAGCCATATCCGAATTGTATTCTTACCTTACTGGTTTTAACTAGACCTTCTGGAAATAGAACTCAAGTCTTTTTAATCGAACTCCTCAGTATTTCCATTTGCTTTCATATCCATTTTTCTTTTTCGAAACTACACTCACTCCTATGGAATTCCCCTAGATATAAAGCATTTGTTTATTTTTTGGGCATTTCTTTTTAAACAAAGTTCTATTATTATCTACAGCTTTAACAACAAATCGTTAAAATGTAACGATACAAAAAGGCATACATGAAGTAAAAACAACAACAAAACAAAATCCCATTGATAATTATGTATGTATGTACTATATATTCATAACAAAATAAAACAAAAAAAAAATACAAAAGAACCAGTACGTAATATGATGATGCATACACATACAACTTGAAAAAAAAAAAAAAACAAAAGAATTGGTTAATTAAATTAACTTTAAATACATATAAACAAACTTCTTAACCCCCATTAAAAAATTACATATTTTTCTTTTTTTTTTAATATATTTTTTTGTTTTTTGTATTTTTTTCTTTAATTTGTATCTCCCCAAGACTTGCAAAAATGAAATTCCTAGTGTTTTTTTTCATTTTTATTATAACACCTACACTCCACAACCGGAAAATTTCAAACATTTACATGACCGCCCGTCGTTTCGTTTATAAATTATAGTAATGATGACGTTAATAAAAAAAAACAAAGCGATTATTTATACACTGAAAACAAGAATGAAAAACAAATATATATTAAAACAAAAATATGCCTAAAAAAATAACGATAATAAAAAACCAAGAACAACAACAACAAACAAACATTTTTTTATTAATAATAAATAAAATGAAATGAATTATATTATGAAAATCGAAAACAAATGCAGTTTGTGATTTGGTTAGTGTTGTTATTTCTTCAAGTCAAGAGGAATGTGAAACAAGTTAAAAAGCAGTAAGTTCGGCCGGCCGAACTTTGAATACCCTCCACCATTTGGAACGAATTTGGAAATAAAATCCTTAAAAAATTCTGTTAAAATATAGCCGTGGACCCACACAGGCATTGTTTGTCATAAGCCATTACCATATTCAAGTTCGAAACCTGAAATAAACCGTGAATAATGTAGATAAATCATCAAAATATCGTGTATAGGGAGGTATCGTTATATCGGAACTGTGCGAAAACCTGGACCAGCATAGACAATTTTCTGTCACAGGCTGTAGCATTCATTACGAACTTCAAATACGACATCTCAAAGAATTTCGGTGGGTATTGTACCTAAAATCGTCAAAATACCGAATATAGGAAGGCCCCATATGGGCATATACGAAGACTTGGACCTGCATGCACAATTTTCTGTCACAGACCCATTACGAACTCTAAATACGTAATTTGAAACTACACCGGTGAATAATGACGCTAAAATCATCAAAATATCGAATATAGGGAGGTACTGTTATATGGGGGCTATACGAAGACGAGGACCTGTACAGACAATTTTCTGTCACAGACTGTAGTTCCCATTACGAACTTCAAGTACCAAATTTGAAACAATTCTGGTGAATAATGACGCTTAAATCATGAAAATACCGAATATCAGGAGGTACCGTTATATGGGGGGCTATACAAAGACGTGGGACTGCACAGACTATTTTCTGTCTTAGGCTGTAGTATCCACTACGAACTTCAAATACCAAATTTGAAACAATTCCGGTGAATAATGTCGCTAAAATCATCAAAATACCGAATATCGGGAGATACCGTTACATGGGGGCTATAAAAAGACGTGGACCTGCGTAGACAATTTTCTGTCAGAGGCTGTAGTATCCATTACGAACTTCAAATACCAAATTTGAAATAACTCCGGTAAATAATGTCGCTAAAATCATCAAAATACCGAATATCGGGAGGTACCGTTATATGGGGGCTATATGAAAACGTGAACCTACATGGCCCATTTACGAACATAACCTGCCTACTGAAAAAATAAACATGTGTGCAAAATTTTAGCCTTCTATCTCAATTCTTTCGAAAGATAGTGTGATTACAACAGTCTGGGACAACTGTCTGGGACGGACAGACAGACGGACATGGCTAGATCGACTTAGAATTTTACGCTGATCAAGAATATATATACTTTGTTGGGCCTGACATGAGTATTTCGTTGTATGGTGGTGGGTATAAAAATCTGCAATCGTTTCTAGTTCGAATTGTTCATCAGAAGATAATATTCCGTAGTCTCCGTAGTTTGTGTTTTAAAACTGACAAATAAGCCATAAGGCCTTTGCACACAAGTCATGGTTGTAGTGTGCATATTACGCTGGCGTGGTACTTTAACACCAAATCGGATGAAACATATATATGGGAGCTGTATTTGAACCGATTTTGAGAAAAATTTGAAGCACTGGCTTTTGGCTAAATTCCGTCGGAAGTGCCAAAAATCAGTTTATTTTTGATGATATTAGCCATTTGATGCAGGAAAAACCTAAAATCAGATAAAGATATATGTGGGAGCTATATCCAAATCTGAACCGATCTTGAAAATATTGCAAACTCTTATTTGTGATATATTTTTATTATATCTGGTACCAAAGATCATTCTTGTGGAGTGCATATTACGCATGTGAGGGAGTTTAACACAAAATCGGATGAAACATATATAAGGGACCTATAGCTATATCTGAAACGAGTTTCACCAATATTTGATGTACTTGATTCTAGACTGAATTCTGTCGAATGTGCCAAAAATCAGTTTATTTTTGATAATATTAGGCATTTGGTGCACAATAAAACTTATATTGGAGCTATATCTTAATCTGATAAAATTTGACAGAGGTATTTTTGAGCTCCATATATATATATATATATATATATATATATATATATATATATATATATATATATATATATATATATATATATATATATAGAGATATATAGAGATATCTAATCCGATTTTCACCAAATTTGATGTACTTGCTTCTATATTGAATTCGGTCGGAATTGCCAAAATTCAGCCCATTTGGGTTGATATTGGTCA